TGGTGGGCAGGTGTGGACATGCCCCACATGAAATTCACAGGCCCAGTGTGTGTATGTACGGGGTGGACCAGCCCTGTGGGGCCGTGGGCAGTGGAGGGGGCGAGCCCAGGCGTGCCGGGTGCACTCTGTGGGCTGGGGGGCGGGCCCGACGTGCGGTGCAGGGGCCATGGCTGTGTGTCCGGCCAGCTCCTTGCAGGCGCAGTGGCCTGCTCACCCGGCGGGAAGGATCAGCTCCCTCCCCCGAGGTTCTCACTGTCCCCCGAGAGGGTTCTGGGCGTGACGGGAAGAGAAGCCGACTTATCACCGGCACCGACCGGCTTGCATTTGCCTGATCCACTTCCCCTTCCTGCGACGGCAGCTGTCAGTCCCGAGCGTGGACGTGGGGGCCAGCAGGAAGCGGCCCCTGACCCCCCTTGGCTTCTCAGGAAGGAACTGACCTGCATCTGAGGACGGGGGCCAGCAGGGCGCCTGGCTCGGGACTCGGGTGCCATTGTCCAGAGGCCTGGGGCAGCTGCCCCCACCTGCTTCCTCCCGGGGACAGCTGAGACCTGCGCTACCCGGATGTTGGTGCCTCCTCCTCTAGGAGCGGGGACGGGGCGGCCGGCAGCATCGGGACAGGCGCTGTGGGCCTGATGGGCTCCTTGGGGTCAGCTCTGTCCTCAGCGGAGGCGAGGGCAGGTGTCTCCTCTCCTGGGGTGCAGCCGGCTGGTCCTCACAGCCCAGGAGTCCTGCGTGGCTGAGACCCCCGGTGCCTCTGGGGTCACTTGGCGGGCTGGTCCGAGGGCACCCCTGGGGCTGTTTCCTGTGAGAGGCTAAGTCCACCCTGCGGCCATGCTCCCGCTGTCCAGCACTGTCCACAGCCTCCCTCAGGGTCCAGGCTCTCCTAGCTGGCCCTGTCTGAATCTGCCGCTGTAGCTGGTCTGGAAGCAGGCCACCTGCGCCCACGGCAGGCCACAGTCAGAGCAGGGGCCCGGGAGGGAGGGAGGAGGGGCCCGGCTGGAGCCCACACAGGGGCCGACCAGCCGTTCCCATGCGGGGGTCCACGGGGGCTTGGGGGCGGCCGGGCAAGCCCCCAGTGCATGGTGTCAGCTCTACCCCTGTGCACAGGGCAGGCACCTGAGGAGCCCATGGTGTTCCTGGGGCCTGTGGGTAGAAGGGGACGGAGGACCGGTGCCCGGTGCTTGGGCCTGAGATGCTGCGCGTGGGGGTCAGCAGGGACACATCTTCTGTGATTGATGATGAGCTCCCGCTGTAAGTGGGGATGGGGAATGGGGGATAAGGGGGGTGGGGACTGAGGGGGACGAAGGGTGAGGGGGTGGGGGATGAGGAGTGGGGGGGATGGGGGAGGGGGAGGGGATGAGGGGTGGGGTGTGAGGTGAGGGGCAGGGGATTTGGAGGAACGTGGGGGTGAGGGGCATCCCTGTGCTGGGGTCCCTGCTGGCCAGCGCCTGTGAGCAGACTGGGGAAGGGCCCCGGGGTGGGGAGGCCTCCGGCAGGGAGCAGCCTCAGGTGGACGCTGCGTCTTCGTTCTTTGGTTTGGGGGCCACACCTGGCAGTCTCGGGGATCCTTCCTGGCGGGAACCAGGAGACCATATGGGGGGTCGGGGATGGACCCTGGGCCGGCCGTGTGCCAGCCAAAGTCCCTCCCCACCCCACCTGCACAGCCTCTGGCCCTGCCCTGCATTCTGGCCCAGAGCCCGTCCAAGGCCACAGCCCCTGGCCAGACCCCCGCCCCCACCTGCTGCCTCCAGCCTCCGAGGGGCGGTAGCAGCACCTTCAAGACTGACCCTCGCCCGGTGACCTGTCCAGCCTGAATGGGTCTGGGCAGTGCTGAGCCAGACAGGGGATCCCAGTGACAAGCCCCCGGAGCTCATTTCCAGGAGTGTTGCAGCCCCAAGAACGGCGGTTCCTGGGCTGCCCCGGCTGCCACTCTCCGCCCGCCGGCACCGAACTCGGGATACTCTGGGTTTCCTCTGCCGTGTGGGCTGTCAGGCTTGGGGGAAGCCCCCCGAGGCCTTCCCGGGCTCAGCACCTGCTCTGTGGCCAAGCCTCCTCAGACCGTTGGGGGGCATTGCTGAACGTCTGTTTCTGCACATGAAGCGGCCAGGTGGGGTGGGGGGTGAGGTCCAGGCCCCAAACCTGGAGACACATGCCGCCCCATGTCCGTGTCCCCCGATGCGGCCGCGTGCCCCCCCCCCCCCCCTCCGCCACACACACACACACATACACACTAATGCTGAGCTATGAGAGTTGCCTTCTTCCTGCGGGCCCCGGGGGGTGTTGCTGCTCTACCTGTTCCTGGACCACTAGGTGTCCGGTCACACCAGAGGTCCGGGAGGACAGCTCAGCAGCACCAGGCCAAGCCGGACTGGCCGCGTCCTCCAGGGACCCTGGGCCAGCCGTCTGGGGTCACCCCGAGCTCCAGGTGCAGGGCCAGGGGGCCTGGTTCGTCCTGCAGCCCCTGCTGTGTTGGCACAGATGCAGTGCCGGGAGGAGCGGGCTGGCCCCCAGCCCAGACGCCCCTGTCCATCTTGACTCCCAGGAAACCCCGGTGACCCCAAAACATGTCTGGCCACACAGAGCGTCCCTGCACCAGCCACTGGGGTAGTGGCTAAAGCGTCCCCCGGTCTCTGTCCCCCCTCAGCCTGCGAGGGAAGGGAGCCCAGAATATTCTAAAGGAGGGCGATGCGGGCCGGGTTGGAGAGCCCTGTCTTCAGACCCCTGCCCTGGGGTGACAGGGCTGCTGCGAGCTGCAGGCAGAGAGCCGCTGAGACGGGCTGTGTCTCCCCTCACCGAGTTCCCGCAGGTGAGGGTCCGCAGGAGTGCTCTGTGACGCCTCCATGGGGGAGAGACGCCCTGCAGGTGGGCGCCTGCCTCCTCGCCTGTCCCTGTCCCGGCTTCTGCTCCCTTCCTGGGCTCCTCCCACCCGAGTCCCGGCCAATCACGTCAGGGTGGCCGTGGCTGCAGGGCTGGGGACAGCGGTGCGTCCCCTATGCCCCCTCCCGTCTGAGGGGCCGGAACACCCCACACAGCACCTTCTGCTGTTTGTTCCTGAATTACCCGGCCGGCCCCTGCTCCTGTACCCGCGTGACCCTGCGCCCGGTCGGCTCCCTCCCTGGCCGCCTGCACCAAGACGCCACCCAGGGGCAGCTGTTTCTCAGCCCAGGCCCCTCCTGCACCCCAGCTGCTCCTGGGAACTGTCCCCGAGGTGTGTGGGAGGGCGCAGGCGCCCCAGTGTGGACAGGAGACCCGAGTGTGGACAGAGTCGCGTCCATGCCATCTCTGAGGCCGGGCTGGGTACCCGTCGGGATGCCTCATCTCCGTGTGGTCTGGCCCGTGAGCATGCCGCCAGCTCCTCCGTGCTGGTGCTGCCTGGGGGGCCCTGCCCAGGGATGGGGGGTCCCAGCCCAGTGAGCACGAAGGCTAGAAGCAGAGCAGCGGATGTGCTGTCGGCTGGGGGGAACCTTCCGGATGCTCCCGCTCTGGTATTCCCAGCCCTCAGAATGCTGCGACCGTGTGCCCCCTCTGGGACGGGGCCCCCTCCCCACCAGACCCCGTGACGAGCTGTCCCCTCCCAGGGCCAGAGCTGGGCTGTCACCCCATCCCCAGAGGCTTAGCCCGTACAGCTGCCCCCGGCCCGCAGCGCCTGAGCCCCCCGACCTCCCTGGGAAATGCAGGACAGCACGTCAGCTCCGGGGGCTTTGTCACCCGGCTAGTACCGGGCCCTCAGTGCTGAGGGGAGGGACCTGGGTGGGCCTAGTGTCGGGCCGAGAGGCTCTTCCTTGTCTGGTCCATGTACTTTTCAGCGTGGACCCTGCTTTGTGAGCAGGGGAGGGCCCCCCGTGGTGGCCAGGCGACTCCTCAGGAGACCAAAGCCGGCGTCAGCGCTCCTCCTGGGGCTGGCTGAGGTGTTGGGGGGCTTGACCCCGCCCCCTTACCCCCATTCCCGATATTCCCTGGAAAAGAAGAGATAGCCCCGCCCCCCACCTCAGTCAGGCTGCATCTCCTGCACCCCCATCATCCCTGGCTCGCCCCTCTGGCTTCCCCCAGGACTCTGCATCCCAGGGCTCGGGTACAAACGCGGGTGGTGGGGTTCTGGGGGACAGAGCCAAGGGCTGTTGGGTCAGGGGTCTGCAGCCTTCTGTCGAACTGTGGCTGATGCCAGGCCAGGCCAGGTCCTGGTGCAGAGTGCCACGCCCAGCACACGAGTCTCACCAGAACCCAGAGAAAACGCGTGAACACAAGGCTGGGCTGTCGGGGGTGCCTGTTCTCTTGATCGTGCACCACAGCTGTTCCGGGTGTGCGGGTGTGTCTGTGTGTGTATGTGCCTCTGTTTCTGTGTATGTGCCTCTGTGTTTGTGTGTGTATATCTGTGTATGTGTGCGCGTGTCTGTGTCTTTGTGTTTGTCTATCTGTGTGTCTGTGAGTGTGTTTGTGTGTGTGTCTGTGTTGGTTGCTTTGATACCTGGGAGCTACCAGGTCACCCCCAGCAGTGCTGGCCCTCGTGGGAGGCCATGGGCTCTGGGGATTGAACTTGAACCTCTCCCTGCCACTCCCCCCCAGCACTGCCACTGAGCCGCGTTCCCGGCTCCACAGCACTGAGAGCAGAACCGAACACTTAGAACAGGTGTGGAGACCTCTTTCTCCGCCTTTTCCTCCTCCCCCGCTCTCCCCTGCCCCAGTGAGACCACGGTGAGCGTGCCATTGTTGAGTGAGGTTTATATCTCCTTAAGGGGAGGAAATAACAAACTTAAGCTTGGCTGGGCGCGGGAAGGGCCCCAACAGTGTTAATTTATTGATTATTATTTTTTTAATTTTCGCTCAGGCGGGGCCTCCAGGGCTGCCTTGGGGGGTGTGGGGGGGGGGGGGGGGAGATGGGGCCCCGGGCGGCCGGCTCAGCTCGGTCATCACTGTCCTTCCTCCCCACCCCACAGGCTGCTGTTGCCACCGGAGGGGCCATGTGACCAACGTCCAGATCCTGACTCCCCGCGCGCGCAAGAGGATGTGAGCGGCCGTCCGGACGTGTTCTGTGCGCAGCCTGCCCTGCCCGGCCTCGCCATGCCCGCCAAGACCCCCATCTACCTGAAGGCGGCCCACAAGAAGGGGAAGAAGTTTCGGCTGCGCGACGTGTTGTCTCCCGACATGATCAGCCCCCCGCTGGGCGACTTCCGCCACACCATCCACATCGGCAAGGAGGGCCAGCACGACGTCTTTGGGGACATCTCCTTCCTGCAGGGCAACTACGAACTGCTGCCCGGGGCCCCCGAGAAAGCCGCCCGGGGCCCCCTGCCCGGCCACGAGTTCTTCCGGGCCAACAGCACCTCGGACTCGGCGCTGCCCGAGACGCCGTCCCCGGTGCTGAAGAACGCCATCTCGCTGCCCAGCATTGGGGGGTCGCAGGCCCTCGTGCTGCCGCTGCTGTCGCCTGTCACCTTCCACGCCAGGCAGGAGGCCCGGGCGAGCCGTGTGCCCCCCGGGCCCCCGCGGGCGCCCCCGCCCGGGCCCTCCGCCGACGTGTCCTGGGCCTCCAGCGGCTCCGCGTCGCGGTCCAGCCAGGGCAGGGACAGTCACTCGTCCAGCCTGTCCGAACAGTACCCCGACTGGCCGGCCGAGGACCTGCTGGACCCGCTGCCGGCCCCTAGCCCGCTGGGCCCGGGGAAGACCCCCTCGCAGACGTCCCTCTCCGACCTCACGGGCTCGCTCCTGTCCTTGCAGCTGGACCTGGGGCCCTCGCTGCTGGACGAGGTGCTGAACGTCATGGACAAGAACAAGTAGCCACAGAAGGAGAACAAAGTCCCCCGTAGGCCGGCCCCCTCTGAGGGGCAGGGCGGGACACATGGCCGTGCTGGCAGCTGAGAGACGGGTTTCCTCGAGAATGTTCCTACAAGACTCACTTTCCTTGTTGTTGGGAGACCCTCCTTCCCCCGCCCCCCAGAAAACAAAAACGGTTGAAAAGCAAAAAAACCCACCACCTCCTGTCCTCGGGAGGGCGTCACACCCACCACGAATGCATCCCCGGGTGGGGCTCATGACCAAGGGCTGCGGGAGTCGCCTTCCGGAGACCCGACCCCCAACATTTTCTGCACGACGGGGCGTCTCCTTGCGCCTCTTTTTTTTTTTTTCCCTAGACTTTTTCTAGAGGGATCTGCCGGGTTCCGCGCGGCAGACGCTTCAGTGTTACGACTTTCCTGTTTCCACACGGGGCTCTGGGTGGGGGGTGGGTCCGTGGAGCTTCCCCCCTGTCTGTTGTATCTACTTTATCGCGGGATCCACAGTGGCCGACACGCTGGTATGACACGAGCGAAGTATTCCCGTTATTAAGTTATTTTTAAAGTTAAAATATATTTTTATGTGCCTTTGGCTGCAGAGTCTGCGTTTTCTGGCTGGCCCTCGTGGCTGTGTCGGGCTGGGGGACACGGCAGGTCTGGACACATCTCCTGCTCCTCGGCCTCTCTTGCCTGTTGTCCTGCCCCGACTCCTGTCTGGACCGCAGGGTCGAGGCCACGCCTTCCTGCGTTCCTCTGAAGACTCGGGCTCCCCACACCCATGCTTGGGCTGTTTCAGCATAGTCCCCGCCGGTGTGGCTGGTGCTTCATCCCGCACAATACAGTCCGAGCCGCACCGGGTGTCTGTGCGTCCCTTGCAGCTGAGCTGACGGACGGAGTGCAGGGCTGGCGGGGGGAGGCGTCTCCGGGGTCCCCGGAGGGGATTGCTCTGTCCTGGCTATTCCCAAGGGTTGAGGCTCCAGGTCCGGGGAGCATGGGGGTCTGGGACCGGCTGTGTGCTGGGGCGGTTTGGTGAGCACCTCTGGGGCGTCTTCCTATGCGTTTCTTCACACGTGGGCTAACTCTGGGGCTTGAGTCCCACCACTTGACAAGTTTTCGGGCTAAGAGCCCACATGGACACAAAGATGTCCACTCTGCCTGCACAGTGCCCCCAAACTCACCTCCCTTCAGCTTTGACGTGCTTGACCTGCTGGGTGCCACGGGGCTGTCCTGACCTTGGGAGAGCCCAGGGCCTCAGAGGAGGGTTCATGCAGTGGAGACCCCTCTGGCCCTGGGCCCCCTCCGTCCCCGCGGCTTGTTGCAGACCTGCTGGTTTCTCTCGGGTTCTGTGTGCCCTGGGTCCAGCCCCCTCCTTCCCGGCTGTCCAGATGGGCCACTCAGTCGGGGGGGCCACAGGTGAAAATTGCCTCATTGAGGCCACGGTGTGGGAGCTGACAGAAGGAAATGACATCAGAAGGGCCACGGCAGGGACGAGGCTGAGGGCTTCCCGCACCCTGCGGGGTGGTCATCCAGGACAGCCATGTCCCGAGTCCAGGCACGGCCGCTCTGGGCGCCCCCTGGGAACCATGATTGGGCCCCTTCCCCCAGCACGAACCCCAGGAGCGGCCGCTCTGATTGGTAAGGGCTCGTGTCCCTCTGTGCCAGCTCAATTGCTGAACTCTGGCTGCCGGGCACCCAGCTGGAGGAGATTGGAGGCCCTTGGACTTGTGTGGGATGCTGGGCCTGCCCGCATGGCGGACTAGCTGTGGCGAGTCAGCCTGGCTTCTATCCCCCCCAACTGCTGACACGCAAACACAGGGTCACCCATCACCACCAGCCGGGGCTGAGTCACTGTCCTCAGCACAGAAGGGTGGCCTGCGCACGCCTGCTTGTCCCTGCGCTGTCTGCGTTGTCCCTCCTACTCTCCTTCCAGACCCTCAGCAGAGGCGCCCCAGTCAAACCTTGATGACGTTCTAGAACATTCTGTCACCTGTGGGTGCTGGCTCGCCCTCTGAGGCAGGGAGGCCGGGGCAGGGAGGGTGGGCGGGGAGTCTCTGGGAAGGAAGTGGGCGCAGCAGGCTGAGGTCACAGGGCTCTGCCCAACATGGGGTTCCCTTTCAGGCCCTGCCCACCCTTGAGGTCACGTCTGGACCCACGGGTTGCTCCCAGGGCAGCTTGAGGCCCCACATGCGGTGCTTGGGGAAGGCGCGAGTCTCATGACCTGGCCAAGTCCAGCTTCCAGAGCCAGTTGGCAGATGGCCACTGAGCCCCACAGGCACGAGTGTCACTCGCTGTCCCCACACACGCCATTCTGGGGACACGGCGGGGTCTCCCATCTGAGGGACGCGAGTCTCGGCCGACAGCCCCGGAGGCCCTTGTGCTTGCTCTGAGGAGCCTTTTCTCCACAGCCTGGGGCTTGCTCTCGCCTCCTCCCTGGGGACCCCCGGCCGGCTGCCTTCAGAGAAGCCCCCGGTGCCCCCTGGACAGGGGCCTCCCTTAAGCAAACAGGCAAAAGGTCCCCACCATCATCACCAATGCTGCCACGGCCCCCAGGCCCTGACACCCCAGCACTAGGAAGAGGAGTGGTGCCGCCCCCCTCCAGGGAATCCCGTTCTGGAAGTTTCCAGGAAGCGGGCCTCGGCATTCTGGGGTTCTGGGAATCATCCGGCCATGAGAGCCCCAGAACGGGGCAGCGGGAGACCCACTTCTGGCCCCTACACTACGCTCGGCTTTTCCAGAGGGGGCAGGAGCGCGGGGTGGGGGCTGGGCTAAGAGAAGCCAGGGTGGGAGTAGTTGGGGACTCAGTCTTCCCGGCTGCCCCTGCAAACACCCAGGCTCAAAACTGACGTCCGAGATGCTCAGGTTCAGGCCGCGGGAATGAGCTCCACTGCGTCAGTGCTCCCTCCCCGTGGAAGGTTCTGGAGTTCGACCACAGGACTGGGGGTGGGGAGTGATGAGGAAGCAGCTCGAGTCACCTGCTTTGTGGCCAGGCCATTGGCGCCATGGTGGCCTCCATGCATGCGGGTTGGGAGAGGGGCTTCCCCAGCCCGCTTTGCCCAGGCTGGGTTGTCATTCGAGGCGCAGCGGTAGGGAGGAAGCCCCTCCGGAAATGAGACCCAAGTATCCCTGAGATCTGCAGAGTGGACCAAAAAGCCCCCCACTTTCTCCTGAGGTCTCCACAGAGAGAGGCCAGAGCTGCTCTGGGGCTGGGCCGGGGGTGACTCTAGCTGGGACCCATCGTGTGGGACCCCCAGCCCCGCGTGCATGTCTCCTACGTGAGAGCGTGAGAGTCCACGGGGTCTGATGTCTCCACGGAGAGGTCGGACCCTTGGGGTGTGCTTTACCCCTGGGCTCACAGTGGAGTCAAGAACCTGGCACTCGGCTGCCTCTGCTCACATGGGGCAGGGGGGTGGGGAGGGGGCTTGACACGAACCCCCAGAGGGGAGAAAGGGGGACTGAGGTCTCTGGGGCTCCACCAGCTGACACACCCCACGGCTGACCCGAGTTGGGGGAACCTGGGGCTGTGGAGACGGACCCCTAAGGCTGGTCTTGGGCACCCAATGGTCTGAGACAGGAAGTGTGTGTCTGGACCCAGGGGGGCATCCCGGGGAAATCTGGGGTCCAGGGGTGAAGCCCGGTGCCTGGCAGCACCACCCCACCGTCTGACCCAGGGCCTGAGGATGGGCTGCTGCAGAAAGACCCTCGAAGGTGACACAGACCTCTGCCCACAGCCTGGGGCACAACCAGGCAGCTCATGTCATTGGCGGTTCTGTGGTGACCTGCTCACCACGCAGGACCCGGGACAGAGTCCACAGCGGCCCGACACAGCGGCTCCGGCTCAGACATCCCAGACGCTGCGTCAGGGAGCTTGCCTGTGCGGGCCCAGACAGCATTCTAGAAAAACCCAGAGGGCTGGACCCACGCTGGCTCTGCACAGGCCAATGAGCTCCTCGAGTGGTTCAGATCATGCTGATAAAAGTTTCATGACACTCACCCACACTCAATAAACATTCAATAAATGCGAGCTATTCCTACCACGTCTCAGACCTGCTGGCCTAAGGTTTAGGTGGGCTCGACCCGCCCCTGGGGCTCCCGTGGGCCCCCAGGATAATCCCAGGGGTCATGGGTAAACATTGCACACCTGTGGGGCATGGCGTGAGGTGAGGGGCCAGCTGGCGGGACAGAGGCCCACAGGAGAAGCATGGTGAGCGGAGGTGGCACACACCGCTCTGGGGTGCACTCACCTGGGGCAGAGTGTCACTAGCTGCAGCCAGCTGCCCCTGCTGGGAAGAGGACAGTGGCCTGGCAAACGGCTCCTCCCTTGAATTCTTCCACAGCGTCAGTATTATTTTTAATAGTATCTTTCTGGGGTTATTTTCCATCTGAAAACTACTGCCATGGTTGAAATGTGTGCAAAGAGGCTGATATTGCAGGGGCGTGAGTGTGTCCAAGAAGTCAAAGTTCCCCACGCACTCAGCTCCCTGTCGTGGGCACACAGATGGGGAGATTTGAGAGGCTGCAAATCGAAGCTGGCTTTATTTTTTATTTTTTTTTTTTTTATGTAGGAGTACTGCTATTTATTCAGCCACTGATTAGCCGATTGAATTGGGCATGAACTCCACCTTACTTTTTTTTTTCATAATTTAATTTATTTTTCTTATTATATTTATTTATTGAATCACTGTGGGAAAAGTTACAAAGCTTTCAGGTTTAAGTCTCGGTCATACAATGATCAGACACCTTTCCCTTCACCAGTACTTATTTTTCACCACCAAGAACCCCAGTATACCCCCCTCCCACCCCTCCCAATGCCTGTGAGGCAGATGATTTCTACTTAACTCTCTCTACTTTGATTACATTCATTATTTAGCCAAAAGATGCACCATTATTATTTAGAATCCCCCCCCCCCGCAACAATCAGAATTGCTGAAAATCACTTCACTTAATCACTTAATCCCCGTTATTCATCGATTTATTCGAGCGGGTGCCAGTAACGTCTCCATTCATCCCGGTTGCGTGCTAGCGTAGCCCAATGGTATCT